TTTTTCCTCTTTTCACTGTACTCGAGTACTTTTGTATCGCAGTACAGTTACTTCGCTGTTTGTTGTTGTCTCTCTCAATAACTCTCACTCTCTCTCTCTCGCTCTCTCATCCTTGAAGCATCCCCGCCACTATCGACACTATCTTATCAAAAGAGAAGCTGTTATTCGCAGTACTTACTGTATCCATTAACATTGTACGGTTGTTTTTTGCGTATATATTGACAGACAACGAGACTGTGTTATTCAATCACAAATATTGTCTTCTCTTTCAAATCAAATTGACCATGAATCCAGCACTCATCGCTCGAAGCTCAACAGCAGTTCTCTCCACTGTCGTCCGTCGGTCACTGACCTTCAGTTCAGTGCGCCAGTTCTCTGACAAAAATGGACCCTACTATGATCTTTCAGAAGACCAGCGCCGCTTGTGTGACTTANGTATCCATTAACATTGTACGGTTGTTTTTTGCGTATATATTGACAGACAACGAGACTGTGTTATTCAATCACAAATATTGTCTTCTCTTTCAAATCAAATTGACCATGAATCCAGCACTCATCGCTCGAAGCTCAACAGCAGTTCTCTCCACTGTCGTCCGTCGGTCACTGACCTTCAGTTCAGTGCGCCAGTTCTCTGACAAAAATGGACCCTACTATGATCTTTCAGAAGACCAGCGCCGCTTGTGTGACTTAGCGGAAAAATTTGCCCGTGAGGAGATCATCCCGAAAGCTGCAGAGTACGACAGGAAAGGCGAGTACCCTACTGAAATTTTCAAGAAAGCTTGGGAGCTTGGCCTCGTGACCAGTGCAGTGCCAGTAAAATACGGCGGCCTCGGGCTAGGAAACCTCGATGGATGTCTGATCCAAGAGCGTCTCGCCTACGGCTGTTCCGGCATCTCCTCAACAATATCTTCCAGTAAACTGGGCATGGCGCCTATCATGCTCTTTGGAAATGATGACCAGAAGAAGGAGTACTGCGGACGGTTTACAGCAGAGCCGACCGCAGCGGCGTACTGTGTCACTGAGCCTGGCACAGGCTCAGACGTGGCCGGCATCAAAACGAAGGCCATCAAAAATGCTGACGGTGATTTTGAGATCTCAGGAAACAAAATGTGGATCACCAATGCCGGAGTCGCCAAGTGGTTCTTTGTCCTTGCTCGCACTAACCCTAATTCAAAGGCAAAACCTAGCGAATCATTTACAGGCTTCATCGTCGACGCCGACACACCGGGCATCACCATTGGTCGAAAGGAGATGGTAATTTAGCTCCAAAAGTAAAATTTGTTTATACATACTAATGAACGTATTTCTTTCAGAACATGGGCCAGAGGGCGTCAGACACCCGAGGCATCACTTTCGAGAATGTGCGTGTGCCAAAGAAGAACGTCCTTCTCGGCGAGGGAGCCGGCTTCAAGATTGCCATGGGCGCCTTTGACCTGACCCGGCCACCGGTGGCCGCCGCCGCCACCGGTCTGGCGCAACGAGCCCTCGACGAGGCGACGCAGTACTCACTGCAGCGGAAAACCTTTGGCATACCGATTGCCGGCCACCAAGCAGTGCAGTTCATGCTCGCCGATATGGCCATCGGCGTGGAGACCGCCCGCATGGCCTACCAGCGGGCTGCCTGGGAGTTTGACCAAGGTCGCCGGAACAGCTACTGGGCGTCCATTGCCAAAGCCTGGGCAGGGGATGTGGCCAACAAGTGCGCCACCGATGCGGTGCAGGTCTTTGGCGGGGCCGGCTTCAACTCCGAGTATCCAGTGGAGAAACTGATGCGTGATGCAAAGATCTTTCAAATCTACGAGGGTACGGCACAGATCCAGCGGATTGTCATCGCTCGGCAGCACTTCCTCCGCAGTCAAGGAAAGGCTTAAAGGAAAAGCTCCCGTTTTGGTTGTGAAATTCTGCTGAAGTTTAGTCATTTTAATTAGCTGCCACAAAATCGTCTTTAACATTGTTTTGAAAATACTCATACTGCTTTTTTCACAAACGGAAAATAAAGTTCATCACTCATTAGCGTAGGATAAATACTTTTTTGGTTTATTTATGTAAAAAGGAAAAAATGAAGTGAGTTTGTGAAGTGAGTCGTACACTAAATTTGGATACATTTTGATCCGCTTTCAGCAGTCTGATCCGGTTGTTTGCTTCTTGCTCCTTTTTATTTAGTACTGTTTCCGCTGTTATGTGAAAGGTAGCACGCCGAGGAGAGTGGCGTCCAATTGCTGATGGTAGCGTAAGTAGAGGCAATACCTCCGACAAAACCGCTCAGTACGATGACGCCAAAAACGATGTAATGGTAAATGGAGACAGATCTACAGTATAAAAGTAGAACAATAAAAGAACGTGCAAACTATCAAGAATTTTTTACCTTTCTGGCCAGTCGCCAGAGTTATCACGACACAGCTTAATGTAGAAAATGGGAGGCAATACAAATGCCATTATAGCCACAGTAGACCCCCCAATGAGATCGACAATCTCACCAAAACTCGGAAAAGTTTCTGATGGAAATGAATATTATGAAATTTAAAGCACTGTTGCAACAAAAAAGCAGGTTGCTTACCGGCAATTAAGAGAATAAGAGCGAGCAATGCTGTCCGAAAAACACAGCGTTTCCAATTGAATTCTGAAAAATATAAAAATTTTGAATTTGTTTATAAATAATAAAATTTACGTTTAGGAATTCGAAGCAGTTCCTCCATGTCAAGGTATACTGGATTCAAGATGATTATTACAACTAGAGTTAGCAAGATTAAAAAATATTAGAAAATTTTTTTAATTTTTAGATTTTTAACCTGTAAGGCAATGGATAAAGAAGAATGAGTTAATCACAGTGATAAAAGTGCCCGTTTCAAGATTTTTAAGAATACTGCTCTTGACGGAATGCCCAAAGGTTCCATAACCTAAAAATGTAAGGACAAGGTTGTTTAGATCAAAGTTGTTCAAAGTCAATAAACTTACCAAGGCCGGCAGTAGGCAGATAAAGCAAAATAAGGCCTATAAAGCCAAAAACTACGGCTATCGGAAATTTGGTTTTCTCTTTCATATCATTTTGGAAATTAGGAAAAGCTATTTAAAAAAATTATACTAAAACGTTTTAACATTAGAATTTTTTGCTGATGATTTTTTACCTGAAGCACCACCAAAGGCAAAAAGTATGGTTCCAAAAGCGGCTGAATATGATTTAATACCGTCAATGTGGTAATCAGTAGATGGGCCATTTTTAGACAGTTCCATGATGATTTTGGTAATTAGAAGAATTGATCCAATAACAGTTGAAAGCATTGCCAAATATGCGACAGGCCAGAAATCAGCAGGTGAACCGAGCCAAAATGGAACCAGGAAGACTGCTACCACAATTGGAATCCACTGACACTCGGTGAGATGAATAAAAGAGCTAGTCAATGCGACGGCCAAACCAGCGGAGAGAATCACAAAGACAGTTGATGCTCCGATTCGGGTAATGTTCATGATCACAGACACAAAAGCACTTTAAAAATAAAAGGTTTAAAAATGTTCAAAATTTTATAGTGTAAGTTTACCTCATGACCTTTCCATAAGCGTGGTAACTTATATATAAGGTAAAAAAATGTATTCAATATTTGTTGCTCGTTTTCAAAAAATACATTTTTCTCACCCTATAGTCGAAAATGGTTTTCTCGTTAACCCCTGTCTGTATTCGGGATACCTTTCTTCAAGTATTAGCCAGCTTTTTGCAAGGCACATTCCACTGATGCCAGCACATGTGGCACAATAGAGTATCATTGCCAAGCCAGACCAACCTGGGTGTAAAATAATATATTGTTAAAAAATATTGCCTATTTTCCCAGCAACTTACCAGCCCCAGCAGTGGCACTGGGCAGTGAAAGAATTCCACCGCCAGCAACCTCGCCAATAATGAAAGCGGTTGCTGTGAAAACGGAAAATCCTTTTCCCGTCGCGATCATATCAAAACCCTTTTCAGACATTTTTGATGATTTTGTTTAGTTGTTGTACACAACACTTTAATTGAAAAATAAACAGCACAGTTGAATGCTCAAACAAATCAAGTTTTTTGTTGACAATCAACAACACATTTTTAAAACAAATTAAATAAACTTTCAATGTAAAACTATCAAACGACTGTCGTTGAGCAATTGAGCATGCAAATCAGTGCATTTGTACGACGGTGGTGTTTGATAATGCGAGAACAAAGCTAACCAATAACTCCCCAATGTTTGTTCTCTGTCTTCTTCTCTGACACTCTCAAGTCATCACCCTTGAATGTAAATTTTAGCCGATTTCCAGTGTAACATTTACAGTCAAACAAAAATGCCACTAATTTGCCATTGATCAGCACTGTCTTAATTACCTGTTGTATCACCAGGTTGTGGTTACGGCCAAAAAGATGCGACCATTAGGAGCAGTCCTTACGACGGCCAATCTAGTCGTCCCGGTGAGCCTGTCTACACTATTACCTATTGCGCTCAATCAGTGGTAATAAACGTGCCATATTGTACCATTTTGTGCCGATCATCAGATTGGCCGACGTAGTCTACGATTAAACGGCACTTGATATTGGAATGGTTGCAGTCGCTATAATGCCAACAGCTAATGAAATGTGTACTTTGTACTCAAGTTGTAACCAATAGTTGACGCTTAGCATTTTGGTTGTTGTTTAAAAATGCTAGTTTTAATTTTCTGCAGAAGTGATGATGAAAACGTGGTGCTTAATTTCACCAACAGTTTTTTGGTGCCTTTTCAAATACCATGCTTTGGTAAAATATTCTCCCGCTAATACGGCTGTTTGTGTTTTGACACTCAAGCTGCAATCACTAGCAATTAGCTAGGGGTGCGGTGTCAAATGTTATCATTTTTTTCGTTTATTTTTTGGTAAACAATTACCGAGTTTGCTGTTTGATGTTTCAGTAAGCAGACTTAATTAGACGGCGCCGCTGATGAAAGCACTAATTACGTTAGTGCAGAAAAAAGTGGCAAATAAAAGCAGTGAACTGTACATTGAATAATAATTGATAAATGGTTTTTTATTTACAGTATGTACAAAATTAAATTTACTTATTTGCTAAAAGCTTTTTGCTTACCATGATCAATTTTGAGTAGAGCACAAGATATTGTAAAAAATTAAATTCATTTATCACATTAAATAATAAAAAATTTTTAGTTTTAGCAAACGCAGCAAGCGTGATTAGACAATATAATAAATATAAATAAAAAAATGAGTTCAAAAGTTGTAAAAACGTAGCGAGACAATACACAAACTGTCCATAAGTCATTCCAAAACGATTTACCGTGTGAATGGCCTATAGATGCGTTGCTACTTTGATTTTAGATTTTAACTCTGGCAATCGATGTCTGGCTAGCAAGCCAAAGAAAGCATTTGTTTGGT